TCCCTCCAAAAAGTTTGTATTTATTAAGCATCATCAGACCAGCATTGTCTGCATTACAAAGAACATCTTGTTTTTTTTTTCATTGATGCCCTGTAGTAGAATATTTGATCACATAATAAACTCCTAATTTCCCCTCTCTAGTATACACTTACCAATTGTCCACCTTATTTCCCTGAATCTGTAGATAATGAGCGAGAACCTTGTTATCGACTCGTCTACTTAGACAAATTATTATCACGAAAGGCCAGGCTTATCAGCAAATACCACATAAAATCAACATCTGACTTGAGCGAAGAAGTGAAGATAGAGTTCCAATTGTTCACTTGTGTTTGAGAAGAGACATTTAACGTGAATTTCTAAATGTAACCTTTGCCAAGACGCTGCTCTGCCGATTGCCAGACTTTTCGGAGACGATCTGTTATTAGCCACAAAATGTGTGACAGTCATTTGTTTGTTCAGAGTTCTTTCTCTTCATAAAGGTGTGTGGTCTAGTTTGGGGGTCTTGTTGTTTTCACACCTGCATACTGTATGTACTCAACACACTAGCAACTGTGTCTCTGAACAGTTCACTGTGCATTTTCATAGCCTTTATCTATATGTTGCTGTTTAAAATTATATAGAGGATGAACAGAAAAATAGATATTGATCTTTTTGAGGTCTTAGCCTTTGCTTTCAAATGGGTTCTCTGAATAGATTTTGATGTATGGTTCAAGAAAAAGGTCTTGACCTTGAATGAATTTATGCCTCTGGCTGTTATTTGTTATCTTCCTCAAATATAACTTGTTTATGAATGTTTCTCTCAGCTGCTGAGGTCAGTCAGTCGCAAGTTATAATAATTCTTATGGAATCTGCTGTAGGTATGTGAAGTGGATGCTAAACCATGTCAAACCAGTTTTGACGGCACCAGATTCATTCCAGTTTATTTGGATTTTCTGCAATGCATTTTGAGTTCAGCAGGTGATAAAACCTGGTGCTTTTGTCTGTGCTTGGATTTATATTTATTATACCCTAGGTATAAAAACCTATAGATATTTTGTGCACCAAGGAATTTGTTTGACCAAATAAGCTCAACAGGCAGAGTCTTTAACAGCCCTATTCTCAACTATTTAGAGCTCGTTTCAGAAATAAAGCTTTTACAGATGATCTAAACACAATTCCATCCTCTTTGCAGCAAAATTAGATTGCTTTATATCTCAGATAATGTCTTGGGAAAGCTAGCACAGATCTCAACCGCAGCGCAATTAAAGATATTCAGCTTATGAAAGCAACAAATTAAGATTTAAGCGAGTGGAGATAAGGTTCTTGCATGTGTATTGATCTCTTTTTATGTCTTTGTAATCACTCCAGCATGTAGCTTTACAATAATCCACTTAGGCAGACTTTGAACTAGGTTTTTTAATGGTTCTCAGTGGGTCTTAGAAGTATCTTCTTCCCCCACTGTTTTGTCCAACTGTTTGGCCTTTTGTGGAGTGAACTGTCAAAGAAGAGCATTACTGAGAGGAGATAACTGTGTTTTATCATTTGGGCTCCATTGATTCACACTGGCATGGGGTTTGCATGATTGTATCATAGTGGAACAGTAGTGTTTTTTTACTTGACATTTGATCTCTCCAAATCCCTTATGTGTATGTGTTAATTGAAGCTGTCTGAGACACAGGCGCACACACAAAAAAAACCTGTTAAATTTTCATTAAAATCTGGCCACTGTAGTTTAAGATATTTATAAAAAAAAATAATAAATACCATGATGACAAAATGCCTTTATGGCATAAAGTATAGGCTAATCAAGCATGTCACACAGGGACTTCTGGTAACATCTTTCTACTGCTGTTCACCAAAAATTATGAGGTAACTCAAAGTTTTAACAGCATTAATATATGTTTTCATTTGAAATATATTTATTTTACTGTAAAGGTGGATATATTTTCTTATCTAATATAATGTGGATTTCACTATGAATTCAAAGAGACTCATTTACTCATTTTACTTTCATCATTCATCAGTGTTTACAGTATTTTACATGGACTGTCTCATTTTTGTTGTATATGGTAAGCTGACTTACATTTAACTAGTTAGGAATTAACATTCTAAGTCAGTTACTCCGAGAAGTTCCATAAATTCTAATCCTTATGAAACTGCAGGTATGAGAAGCACATAACAAACCATATCATTTAGGTCTGTGCTATATAAAAATTAGTTCTGACAGGTTTTTCATGGTTAATTCCATATTTATATAATGTGTTCTAATGTCATGAAAAATTTTGTAAAAATAAGACAAGCAAATTGAGCCTATTTTGGGACCTTTTTTTTTTTTGCATATAATATTGCTTTTTTTCCTGTAAATGTAAATGTGTATATTTGAAATTCTGTACAACAAATACAACAATGATGTATAAATACTGTAATACCATGCAAATACATGTCTGGAGCTTTAGGCCAGTGCTGTAAATTGCAGTCCCATCAATCCCTGAGTCACCACCATTCTTCTCAAACTTCACTGACTGCTTTTGTGTGTGTGTGTGTGTGTGTGCGCGCGCATGCATGCCTACAAGACAACTCATGCTTGCTTGTGTTTCTTTTGTCAGTCGGTGTGAGCATGCTCTCTTGTGAGTATTGAGTTCGGCGTGTGGTCTTGAGCGTGTTCACTTTGCACAGGACAGAATCAGCAGAAGATGGCCCGAGGGGTGGCCAAACGAATGCCCGTCAGCCCGTGTGCCAGCATTGACGCAGGCCATATTGAATCAGGCATTAGCAGACTGATGACTTCAACCTGAAGGGCTCTGCGTTCTCGAGCTTTCCACATGGGGTTTCCAGCTCTGAATAAAACCCGATTCTTCAATCAAGACCTTCCACAGCGCTGTCAATAGCATTGAGATTAGGGGCCGTTTAAAGCTGTGAATCATGCTACTGAATGCAGGGGTTCACAGTGGATATCTGCAGGAAAAAGCAACAGTAAATTGGAGGCAGTATTGTGATGAAACAAAATGATCGATGACAGCTGACTGATTCTCTGATCTAAGTAGCCAAATTAACCGTTTCACACTTGCAGCTTGAAATTCTTCATTAGTGCCTACTGGCTATTTAGTCCAGGGTCTCTGAGGTGTGACAGTAAAGCGAACTAGATTTCTACTTTTTCTGAGGAAAACTTGAGGGGTGCTTAACTGTGCAAAAGTCGCTTGCACCATCTGGTTTGTGGCCCACCCTCAAGTCTCTATTATATTCTTGTCCCTAGATATATGTAATTTAAGACTAAGGTTTTTTTTTTTTTTTATAGAAAATATGGTTGTGCAGTATTCACATTTTAAGAATTGTCTCCCTTTCCATTTGTAAAGTGGATTTTGAATAGGATTTGCCACATCTCTCAGGAGGTTGAATTGGAATTTGAATTGGAATGACAAGAGGTTCTGGAAAGTTATGGATTGTTCCATCTTGCTCCAAAAATCACTCTGTGTGTTTCTAAGGCCAATGAAACCTTTCTTAAAGGCCTTAAACATATTTAACCCAAGTATGAGCAATATTATTAGCTTATCATGCACCACAATTTTATTTTATTTTATTTTATTTTACTTAATTTTATTTTATTGTATTATTTTTTTGGTTTTTATGTTTCTTGCCTTTATTTATAGATAGTAGATTGCCAGTATGAAAGTTGGAGTTTGAAGAAGATAGATACATGACCCAGGTCAGACTCAAACCCGGGTCCCTGTAAGCCAATAATATTTTAATTCCAATTGCATTGGAGTTATTTTACCATACTGTATTTAAAAAAAAAAAAAATTATTTGGGGGACAGATATTTACCTAAACGGTTGTTCTTACAGGGATACTGGTTGGAATCTGGCTTGCATCATGTTCCAGTCCAATGCCCTTACTCACGCTCTCCATCACATTTTCTATGTTAGGCATAAAAAGCATAAAAAGTGTTATTTTTCAAAACGCCCTATTCATTCAGAAAAGGCAAATAAGTAATTATTAGATTTTGTTCAAGTGAATGTGGACAGAGAGAACATAAAGACTGGTCTGATGGTGCAATCACAATGTGATAGAAACAAATCTAGAATTAATAATATTTAAAATAATAAAATAATATTTGCTCTCAAGTAAATCACATTTTCAATTAGCAGATGGCCACTTGTATTCGGTATGTTGCTTTAGTTTCTCTAACAAGAACCAGATATTGATATTTCAAATGTTAAATCACCTAATTGACTATTTACATGACTTATAAACTCTTTTAAAGGAAATTGAAACAACGCACATTTACAGTCTACAGTATGTATAAAACACGTGTTTGCTGTGAGCGCACGGCATGCATCAGGTACTTAAGATGTAACCCTTACATTCTGCAGAAAAGCCTGAAGTATCTCCAAGCTCCTATCCAGTGTCCATGCTTGAAATAGTGCTATAATTCCTGAGACTGATGCACTGTCAATTTACCCGTGCTCCTTACACGGCAACGGGAGAGCGTGGATAAAGGTTTTAAAGTAGTAAACACTGGTCACGCACCAACCTCCACATATGCTCACAGGTTTCACATCACTGCTGTATTTCTCTGCATATCACAGTTGTATTTGATTAGCCCATAAATACATAAACTTACGGGTGACTTAGAAGTGGTTACATAATTAAATTCTGATCCTTATTTTTGCACATATTGCAACTCAAAGCTTATTTTTTTATTAACATACTCACAGTCCCATGCTATAGGCAAATGTGCAGCCGCGTGCTTGTTCTCATATTCATCTCCCTGCACCCACTCCACCATCAGCTCATGATTTTTTTTAATTCATCATTGCCCTCCCAGACTCCCCTGGCCAGCCAGTGAAGTTGAGAGCACTGAACTTGTATAGGCATAAAGCACAGTGATGATAAGCATATTAAAGCTGCTGTAACGGCTGGGGGAGGGGCTAGCACCAGCATCTGCTGCCCTATTGGTTGTCTGAGTGGCAGGGGAGGGGCTGAAGGGGGTACAGGCAGAGAGCGAGAGAGAAAGAAAGAGAGAGAGAGGTGAGAGCTTAGTGTAAGGTTGGGAAGGAATGCCCACTAGATGCGGCTGCTGATAATAGCGCGTATCAGCACCAGAGCAGTGACTGAGAGCGCAGACAGAGAGAGGAGGAGAGGAGCAAGGAACAGCATGCTCTGCCAGAGACTGGTTAAATCACAGCAGCGTGATTGATTCAGGCAAACAAGGGTAAAAAAATAAAGAGAGTCTCACGGAGCACAGAATCCTGAGAGGAGAAAAGGGGTGGAAGTTAGAAGGCTGTGGGAACTCATCAGCTCCTCGTGGAAAGGCAGAGCTGAGGTCAGCAGGCAGGAGCGTGGGATCGAGCAGCAGCTGAACCAAGTCGAACATTGCTTGGGCTGGGGCTTGGGCTGGACACTCTTAGAGGGGTAACGAGGGGCATAGGGTGAAGAAATACTGCTGAAACTTCAGTTACACTCAATGCACACATGCTCATGGGAGTAACGCTTCTGGATATTACAGCAAGGCTACGGGGCAAGCTGCCACATCCACTAGAGCGATTTTGCAAAGCCACTGTCTGATTGACTTAATCCTGATCTTTTTGTTTGAAAGAGAAAGACTAGCACTTTTTGGAACACTAGAGCACAAGTTCAAGGTTCTGTTCAAGGGCTATTCTGAGAGACATGATAGAGAATGAAATAAAGAACGCGGCTTCCATTCCAGAGCATGGAGAAGTCAAGTAGTGAGGAATCCGCCATTCACCGTAGCCCGTCTGTGGACAGCCGCGACTCAGACTTTGCCCAAGCCTCCACCTCCGGACGGCCGTTCGGAGGACGAGGCTTTAACGCCGGCGCTTTTTACGGGTCCACTGGCCCACGTGCGCAAACCTCTGCTCAGAGTGGGGCGGCCAGCGACGACAAAGGCAACAATAAATACAAGTCTCCTAAAGGCAGCAAATACGTGGTCTTTTATCTGGATCTATCCTTTGTGTTCCTTCTAGAGTTCAAGAAGTGCAACATGGCTAGAGGCTGCCTGTGCTGTCTGAAATACATGATGTTCGTCTTCAACCTCATCTTCTGGGTAAGTCACACTTTGAATTTTCTTGACTTCTGCTCTGTTCTATCTCCACAGGTAGTGAGGTACTAAAGGTTTGTGACCACCCGGTCGCTCGGTCAGAATTTGGTTTCTAGCTCAGTAATGGTAACAAGTGTACATTGAGAAGGTGCATGCTCCTCAGAGCGACCCATGCCGGTACTGGGACTTTCCTGTCATGTGTTTTTCCTGTGTTACGTCAGGCTAGCCATGCTCTCATTTACGTACTCGTTACTATTTCTGGCTGCCTTTGAGTCTCTTGGGGCACCCTGGGAAAACTGTGCCACACTCCCGAAATGAGTTTAGCTTGCGACTTGCTTTGATGAGATGCTGTGATGTTTACATAAGGATCGTTAAAAAAAAAAAAAGTCTATGTTTTTGCTTTAGTCACATTCAGTCATAGCTCTTAACAGCTCTGTAGTTTGTTGGGAACTGAAGTGAGAAACTTAAACATTCAGATAAACGCATTTATTTTTGTATTGCTTCAACAAACACTTAATTTATAGTGTTTCTGTTTAATTTTGCCCATGCATTTTATTCATTTTTTAGTTTTATATGGTTAACTGTTGATTTATGATGATGGTTTATCAGTTTGCAAACCTCAAGGCCATGTTTTTGTCAATTCCATTTGTTTGTGAAGCATATCTCAGAAAGATGGAGGTAGTGGATTAAAATCTAATGGGAGAGAGTGTATGGAGGACATTAAGCTGAGTCTTTTGTGCAGAGGCACTCATGCATAAACGCTAATCGCATAAGCTAACAAGGTTCGCCACGCACACATACTCTCAGAAAGTAATATCTGGGCCACGTCTGACTCACTATAAGAGGTTAGGAGTCTGCCTGAGCATGAAATACTTTCCCCATCCATCCATCTCTCTGTCTATGACAAGATGTTTGAGTTTATATACAGTATTAATCCCAGAACTTCAGTAAAATCCAGCTAAATTGTGAAATGTAGTTCAGGATGGGTGGCTCGTCACTTTACAGAGTCCTGAGACTTGTTTTAATCTCGGCAAAGGCTTAAGTGTGAAAGGTGTGTGTGCAAGGGAGAACAACATGTGGAGGTGTCACAAGGCAGATACTAGAGTCATTCCCTGGAGGTCATTATACTTGTGTGATCCTACTGTTTTTCACCGGAGATAAACCCAGAATGACACCCCCACAGAGGCTCTCTCAGCTCACCGGGGCATTAAATCCTTCCAATAGCTATGAGAACAGATGGTAGATTATGGTCAAAGGTTGTGAGCTTTGATATAACGTACTGTCAGCGAGATCTTGAAGTCCCTGAATTGCTCTATAAGAAACAAGGTCTAATAACAAGGATTAGTTGGGAGAAAGTGTCTGTGCATTAGTAGTAGCAGCAAGAACCGCTTGGCCGCTGGCGATGCAGCTCCTGCTGAGAGGTAATTTAGATGTTCTAGTGGTAATATTCTTTCAATGATTCTTCACACGACCTGAGTTGAGTCCCATGAGGTCATTCCAACAGTCCCAGAGCTATGCGTGTGCAGTTACCAGCGTGTGTGAGATTTAGGGTTACGACATGCCTCAGAGAGTGATGGCGATTGAAGCTTGGTGATCTCCATAGGCGAGTGTGCCTCTGTATCATGACACCCCTGGGACCACACTCCTCTTGCTTTGGCACTCCAGGAATCGCAAGGTTTCCATTCTGTGGAACGTTGAAGCCTGTCACCCCATCCGCTTTAGAGAGCCAGGTGCTGCCGCCTGCTGCCCCTTCACAGGACTTACGATTGTAACTCCAGCCACTAGCTAAATAGAAGCAGGAAACTCAGGCATGTCATCGGGCTCCTGTACAGGACAACATAAGCAGTTGCTCGTGACCATCTGGCTCATCTTTCTTAGGTGGATTAGTTTGGTTTGAGCTGGACGGCATCAGCAGAATTTAGAGCATTTAGTGGTGAGCTTGATCATACCATGCTGTGTTCCTGACTCTGTAACGGTCAGCGCTCACCATATCTAAACGACTTATACATTTTTGTCTATTTATTGGGAATTTTCCCCAGTGGCACCAAGCGGAATTGAACAAATAGTGACCATTTCCAAATAGGTTCCTGTTTGTCTCTTTCCCTATTACATTTAGTCATCAAAATATGATGATCCCCTTGTTCTCACCAGCCCTCTCAGACAGTCCTGCTGCTGACATGGCATGTATAAATAAATAAAATAAACAGCATGTTGTTTTCAATATTGTTTTGTATTAAGTTGATAATGTATAATTTTTCTGCTCACTATTATTATTATTATTTTAACCATTTGTAAAGTGTTTTTCACAAAAAGAAAATGTATATTCTAGTACTTTGAAAAACTATTGCATTTTGGAAAAATAATTTAAATATTTTTAAAATATATTTATTTTCAAAGGACATTCTAGCACCTGCCCCAAACATTTAGTTCTGCCATTTTGTCAATGCACATTAAGCTGAAAAATTACATCAGCTCTAATTACATCAGTTATTAATTGTTAATGAATATTGATTGCCAATTTTTCCTTAGTCTACCTTCTCATAAATGGCGCCAAACAGTCTCTCAGATTCAGATAAGCTCACCAGATTCATTACAACCTCATTTAATCCTGGTGAGCTGTTGTCATTTGTCTATATCATTTGAATCAGTCTGAGCCATATTTCACAGCAATATTTCAGTGGCTCTGTGCTTTTTCTTTGTCCTCCTCCTATCCTGTTACAGTCTTACTGCTGGCTAAAGCACTACAGCAGGATGCCCCACAACATCCTTTGTAAAAGACTGAATGCACAGCCTCATTTTGCCTCTATTATCATATTACATCCAACATATTCTTATTCAAACAGTACTGCCACCTCAGCAGTTTACTCCAAAGGTGTGCTGCTCCTTATCAAAGCCACTGTGTGTTTGTGTTTATGAATTCTGAGTTTCACTCTAGGGATTGCAGGGGATTTATCTGCCATTTGGTCCAAGGTAACAAAAGATTAGGATGGCTGTCGATTTAATCACCTGGGTTGACATTTTGAAGTTTGAAATGTTGGTGTTGGTGGGTGCTTCTACAAAGCTCACAAAGTGAGTGGCAGTCTCGGGGTGCTTTGGGAAGGAAAGGGAGGTGTGTGCTGTAGAATGAATGAGCAGTAGAGTGGGGGTCCACACTGCGGCAGTGGCACACTCTCTCCACCCTCCCTACTAGCTATGTATGTTTTCCTACAGAGCTTCCATCCAAGGAAGCAAAGCGGTTTTTCTTTATCTTATTCATTCTTTTTATTTCCTCATTTCTTTATCAAATCCATTTAAGGGCTTTAATCATTCTTTGCAGCAGGAAATTGCAAAAAAAATATATATATTTTTGTATTTGTTCATATTGAATGGAGAGTAGAAGCTAAAAACCTAACATCACAATATTGAATAAAACTCATATATACAAACCAACTGATTGGGGTTAGTATTATTATTAGTAACAAAGCATCTTACATTTTAACATTTTAAAATTCGTAAAAATAATCTTTACAAAAGTTTAAGTGATTGATTTCATGAATTAAATTACAGAAATTATTGTCTGCTTGCGTGTCATGCAATGAAAATTTGTAGTGACAGTGGTTAATTTCTCCTTAAAATATAAGGTGCAGATTTACAAACTGGTCAGGAGAAAGTGTTGAAGATAACAACAGGCTGTTGAAAGTTTTAAACATAAAATTTCACACTGCAAACAGTGATTGTTTACGCACTTCGTGAAGTGAAAAGAGCAAATGGGTTCTACACAAACAAAACTGTATTGCGGCAACAAGCATGACAAGGAGTTTTGTTCGTCTCCACAGTATTTTCTTTTCTGTTTAGAACCATTCCTTTTGGTTTTTGTCTGCACTACGAATTTAAAATGAATTGAATGCGACAGATTTGTAATTAGTCCCTGTTTGAGCATCTGATAAAGTTGTTTACCACTTTCTTGCCTTAACATAATTTACTCAGCTTCTTGGTTTTCTGCGTATCTGGGGAAAATTCTCTCAATAAGTGCATCTAGACCTTCGATTTCCTGTACCGTTGTCTCTTGCTTCCTGGAAGGGCTCATTAGCTCTGGGATATGGTTGGATCAGTTGGAGATGTGTTTCTTTCCAGGGGGTCTGACTCTGTGGAGTGGTTAAGAATCTTTATATATAATTAGTTCTGCACAACTCCACGTTACTTAAATACACAAGAATTAAAGCTGTTGTGACTGTTAATGGTCTTTTTTTGCTCTTTATTTGTACATTATTTGTGTTTTGTACTTTCAGATATATATGTTTAAATATCCATTTGGCTTGAAGTCCAGAGGTAGCAATCTGATAAAGGACTATTCAGTAGTGGGCCTGAGGCACAATGCAGGGTGGCCTTCATTTTAAGCGTTTGAGCCGATTCTCAGCAACAGAGCAGATCTGTTTATGCCTTTTCGGCCTCTGATTCATAGCAGCTCTTGGCCCAATTAAAAATAAAATTCACCCTTAAGGACAAGACATCTTTTGGAAATCTCCATAACACCTTGAGAGACATATACTGTAAGTTGACTAATTTGTCATTTTATTTTCTTCTCTCCTGCCTACCCCCAAGAGGAAATATTTTTAACTGTACAAAAATAAATCAAAGGGCTGTATGGGGCATAATCAAGGCAACCATAGAAACACAGACCTATCTGTCAAAATCTTAACTGTTCTTGTTTAAGACCTTGATGAATGATGTGTTTCTAGAAATATCGGACATTCAGCACTTTCTTTCAGCATTTTATTAGCCGTTGTAATTCTGCTGAAGTGTCATGTAATGCAGGAACTAAGTATGTGCATTTTGGCTGCTGCATTCGGAACATAATGCTTTATCAGTGTCTCGTTCCATAAGCATCACATTATTTTTTATAATTGTTTAATACAAATAAAAAAGCATGTTTTAAAACTCCTGTGTACTGTATCATTCAGCTGCACTTTCTTTGTTTGTTGTTGAAAGGATGAATGTACAGTGGAGGTGGAGCTTGAATCTCATGA